CTAGACAGCTGGAGCAGGGGGATGGGATAGGAGATATAAGGTTTGAGTTGACATTAGCATGGTCATTTTGGAGGATTCAATTTGTGTCCCTACACATGACATTGACCATGTCATGAGCTCCTTCCTGGAAGGTAGGGTAGCATAATAATCGGTGGTGAAGAGTGTTGGGATATGATGGAACCATACCGAATATACTAGAGTTTAGTTACTGGGGGAATAGTAAATGTAGGCTGAGCATGCAGTAACAATGTCTACCATACAGTGTGTAATAAATGGCTTTGTAAGAAAAATTGCTAGACAAGAGATTTATCTTATTAATTCACCTTATTTGACTAGGACTAAACCTTTATCATCTCAAGAAAATATTTATCTACATTAAAAAATATGTTTAAGAAAAAAGGAGGTATAAAGTATATCATAGATCTTGACATCAGATAATCCTCCATAACTGTATATTGCAGTTGTATCCAGTATCCTCATCATTTTGATGCCATAGTCTAGAATTTGAAACGTTTTCTCAATATTCTTCTCATAGCTGCCTTTACCTCCTTGTTCTTCAGGCTGTAGATGAGGGGGTTCAACATGGGAGTGATCACACTGTATTGCAAGGAGAAAATTAACTCTTGAATGGATCCTGAATTTGGCATGAGATAACGGAGCAATCCTGAGCCATAAAAGAAGATCACTGCGGTGAGATGGGAGGAGCAGGTAGAGAAAGCCTTGTTTCTGCCTGTAGTGGAGCTGATGCTCAGGATAGTGGAGATAATTCGAACATAGGAGAAAAAGATCAGGAGGAAATTTCCCAAGAAATGCACAAGGCTGGAACAGAGCAGGGCAGTAAAGCTTGAAGACACATCAGAGCAAGACAAAGGATAGAGGGAGGGCAGCTCGCAGCTGAAGTGATGGATATTTTGACCCTCACAGAAGTCTAAATTGAGAGCTACAAGGATATTGATGAGAGCATCCAAAAAAGCCAATCCCCATGAGCCCCACACCAACCCCACACAGAGCTGTGTGCTCATTATCTGGCCATAGAGCAGAGGAGAGCTGATGGCGACATAGCGGTCATAGGCCATCACAGCCAGTAGGCAGGATTCTGTGCCCCCAGTGGCAAACACAAAGAAGACCTGAGCCAGACAGCCCTCTACTGAGATGGTTTTCGTCTTGGATAGCAGGTTTTCCAGCAACTTGGGTACAGTGACAGAGGAATGACAGAGATCCAAGAAGGACAGTTGTCCCAGGAAAAAGTACATAGGTGTGTGGAGGTGAGAATCAGCCTTGATCACCACTAACATCATTAAGTTCCCCATCACAGTCAAGAGGTAAATCACCAGGAACAACACAAAAAGCAGAACCTGGATTTGGGTGTCAGCAGACAGTCCGAGGAGGATGAACTCGGAGACAGCACTGTGGTTTCTCATTGCCTTCAGTATGTATGTTCTTTAGAATGTAAGAAAGTTAAAAGAAAACCTGTTCTTATGTATAACGTATCTCCAAGTGTTTTATTCCTCTTCTCCATTCACAAAGTTTCGTATCTACTAAAAAATTTATAAACAGAAATGATAAACTTTCCAAAGTCTCTAGAGTTTCTAAAACCTTTAGTAATCTTTTTATGTAAATCCCTAGCCTTCAATCAACTCCTGCCCACCTTTATTGTGCTTGCTTCGGTGTTTTAGGGTTTGCAATTGTTGTTTTATTACTAAAGCTTCTGGAAGATGTTTGTAGACTATTGATAATGATCTAGGAGAATGGGAGGAATTTTAGGAAGAATAAGAGAACTTTGGAGAAATGGTGTCTCTGAGAGAGTGAGAGCAGTTGTTTCAGGCATGAATCAAAGCATGGCTTTAAGTAGGAGCAGGTTTACTTCATCAACCATGCATGGGGTCAGTAGATTTGGTGCTGGGAAGGAAGTAGTTCCCAGTCAGTTGCTTTTGTTTTTGCAATAAATGTTTAAATGAGCTCATTAATGGAGAGGTAAAAGGGGCAAGAGTGATTTGCAGAGTGAAGAGAAAGTGAAATCATCTGCTTGGGGAGTGATAAAGTAGATATTCTAAAGAAATGAAATGCCATGCTCTCTGTCAGTACTGAGAGTACTCATTTGAGATTTAATGTGCAACCAATGATTTTCTAGTAACCTTTAGCTACTTTGAGAGAGAAGGAAGTGGGTGGGTAGCTGAAGTTAAACAAACTCTGAAACGACCAGAGAAGTGAAACGACAAGAGAAACTCAAAAAGTCAAGACTGCTGTCATATGAGTGATTATAATGATGAATCGTTGGATATAGGCTTTTGCAGGAGGGAATGGTGGCTCGAGGAATGCAGATATGTAAAACATGGTTGTTGTTTTTGCTGTTAAGTGCTGTCGAGTCGATTCCTACTCCCAGCGATCCTGTATAGGTTTTCTGAGGAGCAGCTGGTGGGTGTGACCCACCGACCTTAAGGTTTGCAGTCCAGTGTTTATCCTACAGCACCACAACTGGAGTCTGGTGGTAGAGCGGCTAATATACTTCTGGAATAGTGGTATTAGAAGCAAATAAGTTGGAACTAGATGAGATGATGGTTACATGTCTTTGTAGCCCAGATTTTGAAGGTATTTTAATTTAGGAGTGAGTGATAACAATGTCATTGGAAAGAAGGAAGTCAAGGAATTTGGGAAGACCAATTATTGAACAGTTGAATGCATTGAAGTGAGGGATTTTATTTTTTAGTTATTTATTTTTAATCAATTTCCCAAGTATTTCATATTGATTTAAATTTTTAAGTAGAATAGAAAAAAAAAAATAAATAAATAAAATGCGACAGTGAAGATAGCACAAAGATATCCTAAATCTGTTTAACTAATTATGTTGTTGCTGTTGGTAAGTGCCGTCAAATCAGTTCTGACTCATAATGACCCTGTATAGGGTTTACCAGGAACAACTGGTAGGTTTGAACTGCCGACCTTGTGGTTCTCAGTCCAGTGCTAATCCTACAGTGCATAGGATTAATACAGGAGAATAGCCTGTTCATAATATCCATGCCCAAGTTAAATATAATCCACTTGTGAGATATTAATATTCAGCTCTTGCTCTCATGCCATTTGTAAGCACAAACTATCTATTGACACTTTAAAGCTTGGTCTTCTTTTCCCACTCTGAACCGACAAGCCAGATTGCAATCATTTGTTGTTGTTGTTGTTGTTAAGTGCCGTCGAGTCGGTTCCGACCCATAGCGACCCTTGATAGGCTTCAGATAATTCTGCAAGATTGTCAGCTCTTCCCTCTTGACCCTTCTTGTCCTGCCATTGTTATCTTTCTCTTGCAGTCATTACTGCAAGTCTGACACATTCAAATTCTCAAAGGATTTATGATTAATCTCCTATTGTCTATCCAAACAGCACTCAGCATGAAAGGTATACTTAGGAATAAAGTCTACATGGCTTAAACAGTTGTGCCATACATAGCACAGAAGTCAAGAACTCACTTTCAATGATCCATAAGACCAGTAAGGTTGAAAGTCAGTGTGAGACTGTGGTATTAAGGTGGTGGTGGTGGGTGGTGTTAGGTATTGTCAAGTCGATTCCGACTCACAGGGACCCTGCATAGGGTTTCCAAGGAACGGTTGGTGAGTTAGAACCGATGATCTTGTGGTTCAAACTGACCTTATTGTCCAATGCTTATCCCACAGCAGGTGGAGGTAAAAAAAATTCCTGTTTAATGTGAACACCTTTCTTTGTTTTAAAACAAGGAAAATAAAAGGCTAAATCGTGTATGTTATTTCTAAGAAATCAAATGCTTCTAGTCATATAAAGGTCACATTTAGTTTCTCTTCTTTTACTCACTGGTACAGCTCTAGCCACAGTAACCATAAAGCTCCTGACTTCATCCATTGTCAGATGATACTAGAAAAGCAGAGAATCAGACCATGAGATGCCAACAGAGAACCAACATGCCCATCATAATTTTAGAGAGGCAGCAAAAAGGAAAATTCCTCCTTCAATGTATCTCAAACTGAATCCCATTTTATTAGCTAGAAATTCCTTAAACTGAGGTCGGGGGAGAGACTTTTTCCCTTAGAAATATGCATACAAGTCAAAGAGTGAAAATCTTGCAAAGGACTTTTTCGCAAAGGATCAACCTGAAAATTGTTCCCTGTAAAGGGTTAGGATGCTTCACAGAAGTGCACTGTGTTACAGTTATTTGAGGGAACCACAAAAATAACTCCCTTTAATAAAATAATTACTTTTAAAAAAAATCTGATGCTAGAATTTTATTATTATCTCTTGTTTTATTTATTCAAATGGTGAGATGAAATTTAGAATGGGAGCAGCTCTGAGAAATCTACTGCTATAAATTTCCAGTTCACATTTAAGTGGAATCAACTCTAAAGTAGTGGAATCGTCTCTAAGGAAGAGCTTCCATAGAAGAGTTCATTTTAGAATGAGACAAAAAACAATACCTAATGCTGTGATTGAGTCAAAGAGTGTTTTTAAAAATATGAATGGATAAATGAATAAGTGAATGAAAAAAATGAGACAGGAGAAGAATATTCTAGGACTTTGCTACTCACAAAAGACAGGTCTGTTTAGAGATTCTGAACACCCTGGGATTGCATGAAAGACACAGGAGAAAAAAATTCACCAATGGGAAAGAGATGCTTCAGTACAGTATCTCTAGCCCTGCTTTTAATTTACACAAACCTCAGAGTTTGGAGTGCTGGAAGAAGGTTATTTTTAAGTTATGAAGTGCCCCCAAATCTGTTGTTGATGTTCCTGGTGATGTTCTCATCTCTTCCCACATGCACATAGCTTCCCCAAACTTGCAGTCTTCTGGGATAATGTGAACTTTTAGAACCAGAAGCAAAGAATATACTAGAAGACCTTGTTTCAATTGACCTGGTTGTAAATTGAAGCTATAAATAGCTACCTTGTAAGGTCTTGAGAATTTAGTTTAGTAATTGGGCATAGTGCTCAAGACAGTTTGAGATACTACAGAGTCATCTGATTTCTATTTTCTTCACCACTAATGTGGCACTGTAGGTTAATGCACTGGACTGCAGGGTCTGTTTGAACTGCAAGATCAGTGGTTCAAACTCACCAGCCACTCCTTAGAAACCCTATACAGAGTCGATATAGGTCTAACTGACTCTACAACACTTAACAACAACAATCCAAATTTAATTTTCCCAATAGGAAGAAGATAAGTGATTCTGAGAAGGTAGACCAAAGCATCTCATGTAATGGAAATGAAACTGGATTAAAGAGAAAAGATGGGCGTGGTAGTTCAGGTTGTACCGGACTGTGAGCCACGAAGTTGGAGGTTGGAGTCCACCAATCACTTTGGGGGATCGCCGAGGTTGTCTGGTCCTGCAAAGATTTACAGTCCCTCGACCCCTATACAGGTCCACTATGAGTCAGAGCCCACTGGACAGCACTTAAAAACAACAACCTCTAGCTCAGGGGAACAAAGATAAGATGAGAGTACTGATAGGGAAAGAGAGTGCTTGATGGTAGAAGGAGAGAAGAGGTGAAAATTGAGAGGAAAAAGGAACTCAGCAGCAGAGAGAGCCATCAGAGCACAAAGAGTTACAAACATTACCCGGATTCTGCCATTTCCTGGTGCAACAAGCATCCTGCTTTTCCAGTGTAGTGGACATGCTTCTGAATGCAGGAGAAATTCACAAAAGAGGAAAAGTTCCACAACTGTCCAGTCATGGAAACTGACATTGCCTTTTTTATTTGAGACTCTTTTTTTCTTTTCTTTTTTTTTCATAAAGAGAAATATAAAAGCTCAGCCCTCAAAAATTCCAAACAAAAAAGGACTTCAGGAAGATTTTCTGAACTTTGCTCTTATTTCCAATGACACTCATAAAAAAAGATAAACTTGAAAACTTCAAGTTCTAAAGGAGTAACAGAGCACTTATTTCATACTATCCCTAGCATAATTGTATAATCATGTGTCTACAACATTCCCTCTGTTACTGGCTATATAGAGTCAAGAGTGCTGTCCTAACAAAGAGGCTCAGCTCTAGCCTTTAAGAAGGGATGCTGGGTTAACAGCAGCCAATGAATGGCAAGGTATCACCCGATAGCCCAAAAGGCAGCTGGGTCCATTCTGATTCCTGGAAGGTTCAGCCTGAAGCAAACTTTGGACTCATTAGCTAAAAAGGTTATTGGATGAGTCCTCTGGGATTTTCCATTGAAGCTAAGTGACTTACAGATTACCTATGAGTAAACTACTCTTGCTGAATATGAAATGGATTTAAAAACAAAACTGGGCTGAGGATTGAAATAACCAAGTAAAAATTAGATAAACAAGTTTTTCAAAAAGTACTTTATTATACAAAGGGGTTTCAAAAGATTTGTAGAAATATTCCATTATATTTTAGTTCCATAGTGGTGGTGGTGGTGGTTATGTGCCGTGGAGTCGGTTCTGACTCATAGC